CCCACACTTTGGGATACCTCTCAATGCCTGGCCTGACAGGTGTGGAGGTGAGGGAACACAAGGGTGGGGGAGTTCACAGGTTGCCTAGGCATGCACTCCCTTTTCTGCCTGTTCCCCAAAGCTCTCCCTGTCTCTTTACAGTCTAGATATCCACTGTGACTATGCCTAGACAAGCCCACAAGTTACTGAGTAGAGTCTAAAGTGACTCTGTGGAGGAAAGATACTATGTCAATTGGTGTGCCAAAAGGCCCCGTGAGAGGTACTAGGCCCATGCAGGGAGTGTATTTCTGATGGCTAATTAACCCAACACAGAACCCAACTGTCTTCTAAATACCTATACCTTTACTCTTAGACGAAAGTGGATCCCAGCCCCCAAGAAGTTAAGTAATTGGCACATCATACCCTGTATTGATTGACCTTAGATTTGAAACCAAATCCGTGGGACCATAAGTACATACTTTTATTACCACACAGTGCTACTTTGTCCTCGAAGTGAATTACACACATACCGAACATACTGAGACATAATACAATAAATGGGCTTCCGGGAAGTTTCCAGCAAAATAAAGCAAATACATAGGTTTTCACAAGAAAAAAACACTATTCACTTCAATTCTACCATCTCACATAAGACTCCTTTCCAGATACGCAAATCCCACTTGTGTTGAAAAGGGAAGTGGTTCAAACCCTTCCCCAAGACCTCACTTACTCATTAAGTTTATAAATTTTTTCAGAAAAAAAGACTTCGTCAAGAAGCTTGTGGATGTTGCGCCTCTCTGCGGCAAGGAGAACTCCATCATTGGCTAAAATTCCCAAGCAGGTGCCCGCGTGTCCAATAGCTTCCATGGCATACTCCACTTGGTACAAACGACCTACAAAACACCAACGGTCCTCTGTGATCATACACCGCGGATCCAAGAGAAACCAGCAGACACTAACTAGCAGGGTACAGTCAACAGCCCGACTTTTACTGTTCAACGATGGACGCCGTAATCAACATGTTATTTCAAAGTACAAAAAGAATGAACTTAACACCAAAATACACGTGTAGCTCCCCCACACTAAAAGCAAAATACTTAAACAAAACAAAAACAAACTTTCTTTGGAGCAGGTTAATTTTTCTAATTTACCTTCTGGAGAAAATATGGTGGTCCTGGAGTCATATCTTCGAGACTGCAAAGGAAAAACAGAGAGATGATGCCTATCACTGGAGTAAGCCAACATCTGGAAGCCCAAAACCCTACAACTGTATTTTGGTGCTGAGTTCTGCAGAGGAAGGAAGAAACCATTCCACTCCCCCTACCTGTTTCTGCTTCCCTTGTCCTGTGTCAGTTTGCTAGCTACAAACAAGCCATAGCGTTCAACAGGTAAAAATTAAACGAAATGTGTCATGAACTCACCATGGCTTCTGAACTTTATGTAACTCCTGTGAAAAGAAAATAGGACCATTGAAATAAAAAAATCATAACTTAAGAAGTATTGTCTACTTTTTAAACCGTTTGATCCACACCATCATTCTACTAACACTAACTATGCACCAAGACAACAGTCGGAAACTATGCTAGATGCCGGACCACCACAATAAAGGTGAAAGCCAAGTCTGTCTGAAGAACTCAGAATCTAGCAGCTGGAGGAGAGGGGCACAGATTACAAAGTAACACGGAAGAGACACCGAGGGTGGGAAAAGGGGATGGACAGCAAGGAAGTTTTTGAGAAGCAAAGAAAATGAGAGTAAATCAGGCAAAAATAAATTGAAAAGCCTCAAGTCGAGAGGAAAAAACTGGGAAAGGGTTTAGGGAAGGGCATTCCAAGTAGAGCAGGCTGAGAAAGGTTAATAAAGTGGATAATTCAACGGATAAGAGACAAATTGCTTAAGCCTGATTTGGCCCTAAATTTGGGGGTGTGGGAGGAGGTGGTACACCTGGGCCTCGTTTCTTCAAAAGACAGCAAGACTGTCCTAGTGGGAAAATGGCACCTCAGAGTCCAATTCCCATATTGCCAAATAAAATGAGATATCAGGAATCGAGGCTGGAAAGCTAAAGAGACATCTGAAGGGTCTGCGTGCTCAGGTGAGAACTGAACTTTCTCTCTTCCTCATGATGGCTCTGTCGAATGACTGGGCGCAAGGACCAGAAGAACTGACGGACGTTTTTGGAAAGCCCTCAGGCCGTCGAGAGGCTGAGGGCAAGCTAACCTGCCGGGTGTCGACTCCAACACGTAGGAGAAACAGAAAGGTGGCGCTGAGCACAGCAGTCAGGCCACGGCGGGCTTCGGATGAGACTGTGAACACAGCCCCCTCCACGCCGGGCGCCGGCGCCCCAAGGCTTGGACTTTCCCCGCAGCTCCACTTTCCCGAATGGGCTCGCAGGGCCGCAAGCCGTCCCCACCCCTCGCACCGACTCGGTGGGTCCCAGAGCCCGGGCCCGCCGTCCAGGCCGCGCGGGGATGCCCGACGGCGGCCGGCGGGGGCCAGTCCCTGGCAGGCAGGCCGGTCACCGAGGAGGCGGGTGCAAAGTCATCGTGCCCACGGCTCCTCGGCGGCGGCCGCCGGCCTGCGCCGGGATCTCCACGCAGACGGCCCCCCGCCCAGGAGGCAGCGACCTCGCTCCCGCGGGCCCCAGGGGGCTGAGCCTCACCGGAGGGAGACAGTGAGGGGTGCAGACGAGCGCCGCTGTACTCAGGGGGAGAAGCACCAAGCCGGAGCGCCAAGCATCCGCGGCGAATATGGCTCCCGCGCGTGCGCAGAACTGCCAGGGGGGCGGGGCGGCGAGGACGCGGAAGTCCTCCTGGTGGCGGGGCGGGGACCATCTGCCCACGTGGACATTGGAGAAGCGCAACCTCGGTTTAGGCGGGGGTCGGCGTTAGAGGACGGGTTGGAGGGAGGAGGGAAGAGCCTAGTCTGCGGAAAGTGGAGCTAGATTCCTGTTAGACTTCGCGTTCCGCTTTCACTTTCTCTTCTGTACTATTCTGACGAAGGCCAGAGCAGCAACTGTAGACAGAACCAAGTCGCTTGCTACTCCAGCCTTGCCCCTTAACAGTTTTTCCTTCATCCTTCCCTGGAGCCTTGTTTTCCCCTTTCTCAGATCCAGCTCTTTAATTGGGAGAATTCCTCTTCATCCATCTCTTCTTCTCTCACCTGGTTTCTGTGTCTATGCTGGGGTTTGAAGAGCTAGTGGGTTGACGATGCCTGGTTGAATACTGTCATCTCAGCCCACTGGTCAGGGCCTTTGTCTTCTGTGTAGGGTGCAAAATGATTTGGATCTGGGTTTTTAAAAGGGGAAAGCTTAGAAATCAGTGGCATGTAGCCTGGGCCTGGCCAGTACTCAGGAGGCAGAAAAGGGAATGTCTTTGAAAGTTCAGAGCCAATCTGGTTTGCCCTGTGAATTCCAAGCCAGCCAGGGCTACGTAGGGAGACTGTCTCAAAAAACGAGAGAAGCCGGGCGGTTGTGGCGCACGCCTTTAATCCCAGCACTCGGGAGGCAGAGCCAGGCGGATCTCTGTGAGTTCGAGGCCAGCCTGGACTACCAAGTGAGTCCCAGGAAAGGCGCAAAGCTACACAGAGAAACCCTGTCTCGGAAAACCAAAAAAAAAAAAACAAACGAGAGAAAAACAAAACAGTAAACTATCCATACAATGTAGTATATATTTAATATCATAACAGAAATCAGCAATGTTTGCATTAGGAATTTAGTGAAAGGAATCTCTGTTAGCAAGAACAATCCAGAGAGAAAACTGCAGGGTTCCACTGTATAACAGGATGAACACTGGTCTAGAGAGAAACCGAAGTTTTGGTCCATTTTTCCTGGCCCCTAGTTTCCTGATTAGCCAAGTTAAATAAAAACCTTAAATGTGAGAATCCTAAGTGTTTCACATGTGAATGATCTCAATTGGTGTGTGTGTAAGAACAGGAGAGGGGAGGCAAAAGTGGTATGGGATTCTGTGGTGATTAGGAGCAGGGTCACAGCCCAAAGACCTAATTTAAGATCTAAACCTAGGCTCTCTTTTGAGTCGATTCAGCTTTTTTTTTTTTTTTTAGATTTATTTTATTTATTATGTATACAGAAGAGGGTGCCAGATCTCATTACAGATGGTTGTGAGCCACCATGTGGGTGCTGGGAATTGAACTCAGGACCTCTGGAAGAGCAGTAGGTGCTCTTAACCTCTGAGCCATCTCTCCAGCCCGTCAATTCAGCTTTTAAAGGCTCTGTTTTCAGAATATCCATATGATTCTGTTCTGGATTAAATAATGTTCAATACACATTGGGTTAGAGTATGTACTACTGAAAAACTTACGAAGCAGGAAAGACAGGGCTACTGTAGGTTGTTGACCCAAAATCCTGATTTGTTAAAGCAGCAGGGCTCACTGACTGATATGGGGGAAGTATCTGTAGAAAGTGTGTGGTTAAACCAAACAGAATGGACCGAGTGTGATAAACATGCCTGCCGTCCCAGCTACTTGGCTGTGTGAGCAGGATTATCACTTGAGCCCAGGAGTTTGACAGCTTGATTCCAGTATGGATAACATGGTGGAATCCGGTCTCAATACAGGAAAAAAAAAAAAAAAAAAAAAAAAAAAGCCCACCCTACAAGAATAAGTAAATAGCTGCTTAGAGAGACACAAAAAGAAATCATTAAAGAAAATGCTGAGGTAAAACTTAAGACAGATGTGCAATGAGCTTCATTTCACTAATTTTACAGATCCCTATAAAAAGAATCAGTTATAGAGAATGAAGAACATCTGGTGTATGGCTATGGCCCTGCACTGGGAGACTGAACAGGAGGACTGTGAGAACCGAGGCGTTTAAGACAAGCAGTATAGTGAGCCCCTATCTGCAGAGGAGCCGTGCTGGTATCAGGGTTGATGGCCTCGCCTGATGTCTGCTTCTGCTTCCATGCACTTCTACTGTTGTCTCATGTCTGTCTCTGGAGGTCCAGTTGCAGCTACTCTCTCAATGTTCTTAAATGTTTTTCTCATGACTCCCCCCCCCCCCCCCCCCCCCCGTGTTTTCCCCTAGGGCACCACAACATCTTTCCTTTCGAATGTGTTCACTTTGTAAATGTGTCCAAAGACTTTTCGGTGGGAAAGGCACTTGTATCACAGGCACAAGAAGAGACACACAGACATAAATCTCTCGTGGTCTCTGCCACGGTCAAATGTACACACAGGCTAGATGACTCCACAACCAGAAGCAGGAAAGACAGTGAAATGCCACAAAAAAGACAGACTGCCATGGGATTCTAGAGAGGTGAGGTCAGAGTTCACGGAACTAGTACTGTGTAGGCTAGGTGTTTAAAATATGTGGATTATTTAAAATATGTGAATGTAGCTATACATATATATTCTTTTCACAGTTTAAAAGTTATTGATTTAAGGACTGGAATAGACTTTGAGAGACTGATTACAAATCATATATCATCATGTATGGTTCATGTAACAGGCAAACAAGACCTGCAGAAAGACATGCTTAGTTGTGCATGTGTTTTTCTTTTCTGTAGTGCTGAGGTTGAGCCCAGGGTCTGGCACACTAGGAAAGTGTTTCTAATGTAGTACTTTCTTAAGTGTAAAAGGCAGTCCTAAGATTGCTGTAAAAACTAGACCTTTCTTTGCCTCTTCATATTTAGAATGGATCTGTTTTACCATTTCATTTTTAATTATGCAGGAAAATCCTTCATGAATTTGATCTGGGCCTAACTGAGTTTTGATTGCCAAGGAAATACAAACTTTTCCCTGGTCACATGGAGATCCCAGATTCATAAGACTTGGCAGTTTCAAACCAGATTTGTTCTACAGCCTTCTGGCCCATGTCGAACATCTGCTGTAAATGCTTCCATCCAGTTTTCGCTGTAATCATGAGGTAGTCTTTGTTCTCTGGGTACAGCTGGCAGGAGTGCGCGGCCATGACAAGGGACTGACTAAACCGACTGCACACAAGGAAAAACAGAGCACTCCTCTCTACAGCGGTCAGAGGGATCACACTTTCAAACCCTGCAAGGACGTGACCTCCGACCTGTATAGGATTCGAGCTTTCAATCATCATGTACATGATGGTGATGGCCACTTCAAATACATAGTAGCCATAGCTCATGTCACCAAAATCTAAAATCCCGGAGACTTGATACACAGCGTCTCCAGAGGCTGACTTGCTGGAGTCTACTAAGATGTTATGGTCGTTAAGATCACCGTGATTGATACCTGAAATTAGAAAAATCGTGTAAAAAGTTATTGAAAATACCAACTCATTCTCTTTCTTTTTAAAGCAAAGCCACCTAGAGAATTTGATGAGCAAAACTAAGAGATAAAAGAACAAACTGTTGTCTTGAAGCCATTTCTCCTGGAAAGGACACAGGCAGAGCTTGGCTCTTTTGCTTTCGCTTCTCACCAGTGCAGAGGGTAAGGGGGAGACTACGGTCCTTGCAAACTCCCAAACTGGAGGACTGCTCAAAGCCAGAGATGTTGAGAAGGAACAGAAACACATTTGCAACATTGTAGGTCTTACATGGAACATATGGGCCTTTATTTATATCTAGGTTTTAACAAGTTCTGATAGGCCTGCTGATGCACACCTTTAATCCCAGACTCAGGAGGCAGAGGCAGACAAATCTCTGTGAGTTCGAGACCAGCCGAGAGTGTTGTTATAGTGGGGCTGGAGAGGTGGCTCAGAGGTTACAGGCTGCTCTTCCTGAGACTCTGGGTTCAATTCCCAGCAACCACAGGGTGGCTCACAACCATTAATAATGAGATCTGGTGCCCTCTTCTGGCATGCAGGAAGAATGCTGTATACATAATAAATAAATAACTCTCAAGAAAAGAAAATATTTTAGCAATTTGACATCCAAGAGCAAGATACATGGCCCTGCCTGGTTGATCAGAACGTGATCCACTTGGAGTTTGTCTAGTGTAGTTAGCTGCATGTGGTACAAGCTATGACCCAGGCATGCCCAGTAGAACCATGCATCAAACTGCAATATGATGGGAGAAAACAAAACCCCAAACTTGTCTTTATCGTGGGCAATTTGAAAAACACTGATTTAAGCTACTGTCTAGAATTTAGATGTTATTAGTTTGTTCACAAGCAACAAACCACTGAGAGTCGCATACCTTATAATAATTAGGTGATATGGAACATATCTTTTTAACTTAAGTCTTTTCTTGAACCAGACAACTGTTTCAAACTGGCCTGTCTCTCATGACAATCTTTCTGCCTCAGTCTCCCAAATGTGGGGAGTAGAGGTGGGAGCTACCATGCTCAGTTAACTTCTATATGATTAGGTTTGTCTAAATTATGCTTAATTAACATGTATCACACCGAGTAATACCAATGAACATTATTGTAAACCATACATTTTAAATTATACATTTCTGAAACACAAATGTAGCATAGAATTAATTCAAAATATATATATCAAAATTAGACAGAAATACAAGGGAAAAACAGAAAATCCACACCACAGGATATTAAAGTATGTTTTACTCAGTGGTTGTTAGAACAAACAGACAAAAGTGATCAGTAAAAGATATTGAAAATTTCAACAACAACATGGTTGACAAACTTAACTTAATGGGCACACACCCCAAAATTACAGATATATTTTCACTTTAATCAAACATGGAGTTTTTACAAAATGTAACAAACATCACATCATAAAGATTTAAGTATTATAAAATAAATGTTAACGACTGAAGTCATATAGACTTGTCCTGTTCAAACTCACAGCCACTAACCACAGATAGCCACTTCAATTCATTAAGATTTGAGGCTGTTCAATTCCCAGAACTCACATGGCAGCTCATAACTGTCTGTAACTCCAGTATCAGGAGATCTAACACATTCATACAGACATATATGCAGACAAAATACCAGTGCATATGAAATAAAAAACTAATAAATCATTTTTTTTTGGTTTTTTTTCGAGGCAGGGTTTCGCTGTGTAGCTTTGCGCCTTTCCTGGAACTCACTTGGTAGTCCAGGCTGGCCTCGAACTCACAGAGATCCGCCTGCCTCTGCCTCCCGAGTGCTGGGATTAAAGGCGTGCGCCACCACCGCCCGGCTAATAAATCATTTTTTAAAAAGATTAAATAACATGGAATGGCCCAGTTCCTTTGTTGCACAAGCCATATTTCAAGTATTCACTAGCCATATGATGACTGTTTCACTGGACAATAGAGATAGACATTTACTTTTTGGAATCCTACTGGACAAAAGTGATATATAATATGTTTTATTTTTGTTTGTTTGTTTGTTTGTTTGGAACAGAATCTCTTTATGTAGTCCTTGCTGTCCTAAAACTCCCTGTGTTAACCAGACTGTTGACCAGACTGGCCTCAAACTCACAAAGATCCTCCTGCCTTTGCCTCTCAAGTGCTCAGATTAAAGGTGTACACTACCATGCTTGGCTAACATATGTTTCTTAACCAAAATGCAATTATATCAGAAATCAGCAATGAAAAGATAACTAAAAAGTTCATCATATTATGGAGGAAATAATTTTTATCTCTAAATATGATGAAAAGAAGATACTCTAAAATGAGTTACAAAATATCTAAAACTAAATGAAAATTATGTATTAGGGCTTGGTGTGCACAGTTTCTCTTATAGCTGTAGATAGCTATATTTCCAAAAGCAGTGCTTCGAATGGTAGCTGACTAAGACATCCAGGCAGCTGATGAAAAGTGGCTTCAGCAATAATGAAGATGAGCAATAATGAAGACCACATAACGGTGGCAGCATACAGCAAACAGAAATAATAAGAAACAAAGCAGGAGGAATAATCTACTGTCGCCTCCCCGCTTGGACAGAAAAAGAGCCAAACAAAAACTGACCCCATGTTTCCTAGTTTAAAAGCAATAGAACTGACTGCTACAGGGTACAAGGTTCTCGTTGTGGAAATGAAATGTTCTACAATTAGATGTTCAATGTCTGCACAACCCTGAGGATATATCAAATCATGGAATTGTACAAATAAATGGATACACTGTGTCTTCTGTGAATTATATCCCAATAATGCTGTAAAAAGAACAATGGGATATATTATCTTCAATTTAAAAAAGATTAACAACATATTCTTTGATAAATAATAAATATCTCAAAATAGAATAAATTTTGAAACATTCTCTTGCCATGTATTCCAGGCTGGCCTCAAATTCCCTCTCTATCTTCCTGTCTCAGCCTTCCAAGGGCTGGGTTGTGGCCGTGCCCCACTATCCCTAGTTGGAATAGGTTTTTATAGTCTTAAGCCAAACAGCACCTTTTCCCAAACAAACAAACTTTAAATTTGAATATCAGCAAAAAAAAAAGAATAGGGCATGGTGGAGCATGCCTTTAACCCCAGCACTGGGAGGCAGAGGAAATGGGTCTCTATGAACTTGATGCCAGCCTGGTCTACACAATGAGTTCCAGCCAAGGTTATATAGCAAGACTCTTTCTCAACACACACAAACACAAATAGACACAGACACACACACAGAGACACAGACACACAAAAGGAGGTGGGAAGAGGAGGAAGGGAAGCTAAGGAAAACATCATCCACGTTTGGAAAAAAAAATGGGTGCAGGCCATCACAAACCAAGACTTATGCTCTAGTTAATTTTGTGTTTGTAGTCCAAATAAGACAAAGAAAAAGAACACAAAAATATCATGAGTTAAGCATCTATTTCAAGATTTTTTTTAAGGCAAACAGGAAACATTTAGAAAAAAAAACAAATAATAATATGAGTAATTTAAGATGCAATAAAGAGGGCCTTGAAAATGCCCTTCCCCAGCCGGGCAGTGGTGGCAGTGGCCATGGCACACGCCTTTGATCCCAGCACTTGGGAGGCAGAGCCAGGCAGATCTCTGTGAGTTCCAGGCCACCCTGGTCTGAAGAGTGAGTTTCAGGACAGCCAGGGATACGCAGAGAAGCCCTGTCTCGGAAAAAGAAGAGGTGCCAGCAATCTGCATTCAGAACAGAAGGACAGATACTACTAAAGACCTGAGCAGGTTAGAAAATAAGTAAATAGGGCTAGAAAGATGGTTCCGGGGGTCAAGGGCAGTGGCTGCTCTTCCAGTGGACCCGAGTTCAGTTCCCAGCACCACAACTGGCAATAACTCCAGTTCCAGAGGATCCACTATCCTCTTCTGGTTCCCTTGGGTACTACATGCATGTAGTACACAGACATACATGTAAACAAAATACTCATACATATAAAGTAAAATGAAATCTCAAAAAAGTAAAAAAGTAGATAATAATAAATGATAAATATAATTTTTTAAAAGGTGTGTTAAAAGCTTGTAGTTATAAATACAAAGTTTAAATACATTTCTATAAAAGCACAACTTGTTAAATATGGCAAAAATCTAAATAGTGCTATGTATATTAAAGAAATAAAATTGCTAATTTTCATCATTTCTAGGGCTTTTGTTTGAGACAGGGACTCACGTAGCTAAGCTGGTCTTGCACTTGCTATGTAGCTGGAAATAAACCCAAACTCCTTATCCTTCTGTCTTCTCCCAAGCACTGGGGTTCAAGGTGGGTGCCACCGTGCTCAGTACTAAACTGACTCAGTGGAAAATTACCTCAAACAGTACAAAAAGAAAATGTTGTCATAGTTCTAAAAATATAGGTATTTATTTTGTAAATTTATATTTGAGTGTGTGTATGCCACACATGTGTAGCTGCATTCACAGGCCAGAAGAGGACACTGGATCTCTTGGAGCTTGAGTACAAGGGGTTGTGAGCCACCTAACATGGGTGGTAAGAACTGACTCCAGTCCTCTGGCAGAGCAGCAAGTGCTCTTAATAGCTGAGCCATCTTGCCAGCTCCACTCTACTCTTATAATCACTAAGACAGAAAAACTCCCTAAATAATTTTATGAGTCTAAGCCCATACAAGGATATTATAAAGGGAAAACTGTAAGGAACTGTTTCTTAGGAACGTAGATGTAAGCGGACTCAATGGGTAAAGACACTCCGTGCCATGCCTGACAAGCTGAGGTCAACCCAGGGACCCACAAAGTAGAAGGAGAAAACAAAGCCCTTCAAGCTGTCCTCTGACCTCCACATATTTGCTACAGCATGTGTATCCCAAAATAAATAATGCAATTTTAAAATGTTTATTGTGTAATTCCTCATTAGGGACATTTATAAAACTCAATGTCTACACATTTACTTGTCTATCTATATCTTAGGGACAAAGATTTCCTATGAGTATATGTAAATGAAGACACTTTGTTCATAGATTAGACTAGTTTTATAAATATAAATATACTGTAATCACCATTTTCTTCAAATTTAACTACAAAGCAATCAAAATCCAAAGTATCAATAGACTTTTTTTTTAAACATATGGCTTGCTGATCCTAAAACTGATTTGGAAATACAAAGGGAAAAAATAGTTGATATTCTTGTTTTGTTTTGTTTTTGAGATAGGGTTTCTCTATGTAGCCCTGGCAGTCCTGGAACTAGCTCTGCAGACCAAGCTGGCTTTGAACTCAGAGAGATCTCTCTGCCTCTGCCTCCACACTTGGCAGTTAAGATTCATATAAAAGAACAAGATGGGAAGATATGTTCTATTCTATTCAAAAACTAAAGTTCAGAAATTAAAATTGTGTAGTAATGTTTAGGGCACTTACAAGTTCTCCTATCTAGGAATATGCTGGAATATATTCTTTATTTTTTTTAAAGAGGTGGTGTGGAGTGTGATCTTTCTTGGTTATTGACATGTGAATATAAATGATTGTTACTTTAAAGTAGAAGCTTCAAAACCAGTATACACAAAGGTACACTCCATATTTATTGCTCAACTATTCACAATAGCTAGGTAATGGGACCACCCTAGATATCCATTAACAGATAAATGGAGGGGCTAGAGAGATGGCTCAGCAGTTAGGAGCACTGGCTGTTCTTCCAGAGGTCCTGAGTTCAATTCCCTGCAACCACATGGTGGCTTACAACTATCTATAGTTGGATCTAATGTCCTCTTCTGGTGTGCAGGCATGCATGCAGATAGAACACTCACATACATAATAAAATAAATCTTTTAAAAAAACAGATAAATGGATAAAGAAAACATGGTACACGTGCATAATGGAATTTTATTTGTCCATAAATAAAAATGTAATCATGATATTTGCTAGCAAATGGATGCATTGGAGATTATTATATTAAAGTGAAGTAAACCAGACTCAGGAAGACAATACTGTATGTTTTCTCTCATATGTACACTCTAGATTTAATCTCTCTGTGTGTGTGTGTGTGTGTGTGTGTGTGTGTGTGTGTGTGTGTGTGTGTGTGTGTGTGTTTTGCAGGACATAAATCTAGAAGGAAGCCCAAGAGAGGGAAGAAGGGATCTTAAGAAAGAGAGTATATGGGGAAGGAGAGGGTAATGGGATACATGTTTCATGGAAGCACTAGGTTGCTGTGGAATAATCCTTTTGTACACTGTGAAGAGTTGTCACTCAGATTGGCTTAATAAAAAGTTGATTGGCCTGTAGTCATACAGGAATTATAGGTAGAACAACCAAACTAGGAGAATGATGGGAAGAAGAAAGGTTGAGTCAGAGGAGAAGCCAGCCAGCTGCTGAAAAATCAGGGTGTGTAGAAAATGAACCACATGGCAAAGCATAGATAAGAAATATGGGTTAATTTAAATGTAAGAGTTAGCTAGTAACAAGCCTGAGCTATCACCCAAGCATTTGTAAGTAAGATTAAGTCTCAGCGTCAGTTTGGGAGCAGGCTGTCTGGACAGGGCAAATCCACCTACAGAAGGTGGACTGTCTGGAGGGAGGAAGGGGATCAGGAACAATGGAACAGAGACATAAACTAAACTGACACTTATTGTATGGGTGTAGAGATAGATAACTAGACCAGAAGGATAAAATAATCGAAATCACATTTGATCATAACAGAGGTGGTATTACAAAACAGAGAAGAGGAAAAGGTGTCTGTAATGTACAATGGTGGGAAAAATGATTATCTATAAGACAAATTCATATTGTATATAAAACCCCGATGGATTATAGACATAATATAAAATGCAAAAAACATAAAATGTAGGATGATGAAATGTTACTGACAATATGTTGGGGAAGAACTTCTATCCTTATATTCCACTAGGATTAAAATATTTGGAATCATTAAAATTGGCCCACAGAATGGGAGAAACATTTGTACACATATAACTACAAAGGATTCATCTGGAATATGTTTAGAACTTTCATCAATCAATCAACAACGCAAAAAAATACCAACAGAAAAGTAGACAAAAGACTCTAATAGCACTTCACAAGAAGATACATATATAGATATAGATATCAATGACCAACTAAATAGAGAAATGTATTTTAAAACTACAGTGAGAAACTAGAATATGAAAATAGATGGAAAAAATATGTCTAATATGGTAGTGCAGTGGGGATGTCTACACCTTGGTAAGAGGGGTGTGAATTCATACAACCTCTTTTGGAAACTGGCATTATTTGGTCAAGTTTATATAAGGAGACTGATGCAGGAGGGTTTCTGTGAATTCATGACCAGCCCAGACTACACAGGCCAAACAACAACAAAAGCAAACTTCAAAGACAGCAATTTGAAGAGTGGTGAAGATACTATTCTTGAAAAATAATAGGAACAAACAAGACCACCTTATAATGTGATAAATTGAAGTTGTACCTCCACGTTTTCCTGACAGTATGAAATTTGCCAATTTAAAGGTTGAGAAAAGTACATAACTTTGATTGGGAAAATACTCACATTCTCGAAAATGACTTAATTTGGTCATTACTTCTTCTTTGAACAGCTGAATGACCTGTTCAACAATCTCCCGGTTTCGATTCTGGCTCAGGGCACCCATGTATTTCTCTAGAAGTGGAACGTTTTTCAGATTCCAGATGAAGTTCTCCCGATGGAGAAGATTTAACTTTGGATGATGAAATTCCTAGATGAAAAGCAAGAAACAGGATGCAGCTTAGACGGTAGAGTCCTTAGCATGAGCAATGTCCTACCCTTGATCCCAGTGGTAAAACTAGGCACAGCTGGCCCCCTGTCATTCTCCACTGTATCCTTTACTCACTTGGTTCCGTCACTCTGGCCTCCCTGGAGTCCAGGGAGCCTCAGGGCCTTGGTATATGCCGTTTCTCTCTTCCAGAATGCCCTTCCCACAGTGATGTTAGAGTCTCCTTTCCACTAAAAGAGCCCCTCTGCACAGACTTCCTGACCAGTCCCCTTCTCCAGTGTGTCACAGCTCTCTACGGGAATGTATTCACGGGAGGCACTGTCCCCTAAGACGGCTCTTCCTCCTCTCTCTGGGCTAACGTCGGCTTCTCCAGTGGTGTCCATGCTCTGGGTCCATCTGTAACAGGGTACCTTTCTGCTCTGGGTCCCCCAGGCCTGGAAGCTGCTCTCAGGACAGCACACCTGCGCCCTCAGCATCTTCTCTTCGGGAGATGAAACCTCTCTAGTTCCTTCAACTGTTCCTCACGAAACCACTTTTCAATCTCCTCACCAGTGAGTAAATGCCACTGCTGATCACAAAAACAGAGGGTAAGCACTGAAATACCGGGAGCAGTGGCTTTGAGATGGACTGGCGCTGAATGGAGGTAATGGTAGGAGGGAAATTCTTCTTTCAGGCTGTCCAGTGCGACTCAAAGTCCTTTTTACAAATCTCGCATGTTACTTTTATTTGGTGTGTATGGGGGTGGGTGGGTGCATGTTTATGTGAGTGCATGTGTTTATGGGTACACATGCATGTGTGCACTGGTCTGTAGAGGTCATAGGTCAACCTCACGTGCCATTCCTCAGGAGCTATCCACTTTATGAGACAAAGTCTCTCGTTGGTCTGCAGCTTGCCAATGAGGCTAAGCCAAAGCTCCAGAAATCCTCCTGCCTCTCCCTCCACAGCACTGGGGTTATAAGCCTGCCGCCTTGCCTGGTATTTTTATGCGAGTTCTGGGAAGACAACTCAAGTCTTCATGCTTCTGCATGAAGCACGGAGCATCACTTCACTTGCTGAACTCTTTCCAGCCTCCCTTTATTATTTTTAATTGTCTGTATGTATATGACTGAGCATGTATGTGTGTGTCTTGTGTGGCTATGTGCATGTGAATGCAGGTACCCACAGAGTCCACAGGCAGTTGTGAACCACCCATGTGGGTGTTGGAAACTGAACTTGAGTCTTCTAGAAGAACAGTATATGCCCTTAAGCACTGGGCCATCTCTCCATCTTTTTTTTTTTTTTTGAGACAGGGTTTCTCTGTGTAGTTTTGGTGTCTATCCTGGATCTTGCTCTGTAGACCAGGCTGGCCTCGAACTCACAGAGATCCACCTGGCTCTGCCTCCCAAGTGCTGGGATTAAAGGCGTGCGCCACTGCCGCCTGGCCCATCTTTTTTTTTTCAAGTACATATAACAAAGTCAGGTATGGTGGCACATACTTTTAATCCTAGCACACACACAGACAGAGCGCTGTTAAATACAACAGTCTCTTTGGGTTTCCACTACAGTCTACTTAGGTAGGTTGAGGGTTAGCTCCTACAATGCTGGCACTGTTGTCCCACACCCACACGAAGCTGTCTCGGCTCTCATGGCAGTAGAGGAAAGAGCACTGGACTGAGTCACACACATCATAGTTCCACCTCCCTCCTTCACTTACAAACAGGCCACAGAAGATCTCAGACCTCAGTTTCCCCAGTCAGCCAGTTACGGATTGACCGAGACCGGGAACACACCCTCACACATGCTGGTACTCCACAAGTGCCTTGTGTTTAGTCTGCTTGTTTGGGGGATAACCCAGGGCCTTCTATACACTGGACAAGCACTCTATCTCTGAGTTATATCCGCAGTACAAAGGTTTGAATATTCAAAAATATGGATTTTGCACCTAATCATCCTGACCTCCCTGGCCTTTCTTTCTTTTGGCTCCTTGCACAGCAGTCTGAATTGCTGGCAGTTTAACCGGTGCCCTTTATTAATTCACGTCAGCCAACCTCCCAGTCATCATCCTCACTCTCTCTCTCTCACCAGAGCTCCCATTTCCTAAGCACTTTGCTTCCTCTAGTACAAAGCTCAGATCACAATCTTATTCCCTGGGTTGCTCTATGTTTTCTTCTTCCCCATACTTGAACCTCCTGAGACTGACCTCCAACCCACCTGTCAATCAAACTGCAACCAAATTCCAGTATTAGTTGGTCCTGTGACTTATGAATGTCTCAGTTCTGGTCCCTATGATGTCAGCGCTCCTGTCTACTCTGGATCCCCTAGGCCTGGAAGCTGCTGGAATCTTCAGTGGCCCAACTATATCCTCCACAGAGTAATCACGGCCTCTGCCACATGGACAGGACTGAAACAGCACACCTATGCAGTGTCATAGACACTGTAGCTCTTAGTACTTACAGGAAGGTTAAGGGACTCCGTCTGTCACAGCATGGCGGAGGTCAGTGAGGGCATAGGCAGTGGGGATAAAATGTGTCAGAAGGCACTGTAACAGCAAGCGGTGAGTCATTCTCTGTGTCCCCAGAGCTCTCCTGTTCCCCACATGACAACTTAAGAAAGGTGCACAGCACGGCTGCAGGTGACCATTGAACAACCGAGTGCTCGTCACGTGCTTGCCATCTCAAGCAGAGAAAGAGGAGCTGAAGCTTCAGGAGGAAGAGGCCTGTGAGTGAAGTCGTAAACAGGCTGACAGGAGACAGCAGTGATAAACGAGTTGATGAAAGTCCTGTCAAAATCCCAATAACATTCTTTGCAAAAATAGAAAACACATCTTAAGATCTGTATAAAATCATGAGACTCCAAATATCCAGAGTGATTCTGAGGAGAAAAGCAAAGTTAGAGGAATTTAATCTGATTTAAGATTATATTACAAAGTTATCATAACCCAAACAGTATGAATGTTGAGCGTATACGTCAGCGGTAGAGCATGTACTTAGTATGAAGGTTGCCCTGGGTTTAATACCCAGCATCAGAAAACAAACAGAAGGAAAAATAACATTTTACTGGTATGAAAGCAGACAAAAGAACTTAGGGAACAGTGCAGAGAATCCATGAATAACCCTAAAAGCCCAGTAGTACCAAGTAGTGCCCAACAATGGCACCACAAAGACACCCTGGGAAAGGACAGGGTTCTTTAATACAGTTCTGGGAAAACTGGATTTCAACAGGAAAAACAATGATATTGGACGTGTATCTTATACCATATACAAAAATCAGCCCCCAAAAGACAAAAGACCCAAAGGCCGAGATCATAAAACTCCTCGACAACGGCTTTGTCAGTGGCTTCTTGCCTATCATACCTAGAACAAGTATGACATAATTGAGATTACATCAGTCTAAAAGCTTTGGCATGGGAAAAACTCAACCATCCCTGGGCTGGGGAACTGGCTCCGTCAGTGCAGTGATCTGATGACAGGCACAGGCTGAAACACCAACACTGAGAAACGGAGACAGGAGGATCCCTGAGGCTTGCTGGCCAGCCAGTGTGGCCGTCTGGAAAGTTCCAGGCTTAGTGAGAGACGTGTCTCAAAGGACAAGGTGGAGGGCTAGTAAGATGGCTTCCCAGGAAAAGGCATTTGCCAAGCTGATGACTTGAGCTTGATTCCTGGAACCAATGCAGTAGAAGAAGAGAACTGACTCCTGTAAGTTGTCTTCGCCTCAGATTTCTACACATGCACAATGGTATGCATGGATACACACATAAACACACACACACATGTAGAGAGCCGTGTATGGCTGTGCCGCAAAGATGGCGCCGGCATCTGGCTTCTGCCTTCCCGATGGCAGGTGCTCCTTATTTGGCTAAGGCTAGGATCTGGCTTGCTTCCGCGCACCTGGACCTAATCTGGCTTGCATGCGTATGTCTGACCCTATCGGCATTGTCCACATGGCACTACGGGGTTGATTGCCCAGTGGCTATAAAGGGCGTGGGCTGGCTTTCCCCGAGAGAGATCAGAAAGGAGAGAGAGAAGAAGAAGATGGCTTTCCCCGGGGTCAGAAGATTGTCTCAAAGTTCCTGAATAAACTGCTTGGAGAAGAGCCTGGTGTTGCATCTTCCTTGCTGGTCGAGGCAGATGCGACACACACACACACAATAAATGTGAAAAATTTAAATAATAACAAAAAAACATGGCGAATAATCAAGGAAGACATGGACGTCAACCCTGGCCTTGACCAGCACTTGCACACATGTAAGTACGCACCCATACAACATGTACATACGTGCACATATTCACACACAAAGTCAACAATTTTAATCTCAATCAATAGTTCAGGAAAAAGATGTAGAGAAAGTGCTAGTATGCAAGATTTGTAAAGAACTAGTAAACTCAATAACAAGAAAAACAATATAACTCAATTTAAAAATAAGCAAAAGACTAGAATAGACATTTTTTTCCAAAACAATACAAAAATGTTCAATGAGCATTTGAAAAGGTGGTCACCATCAACAACCATCAGGGATATACAAACTGGAAGCACCATGAGATATCACTTCACACCTGTGAAGACAGATACTATCAGAAATATGAGTGATAACCAGTGTTCGGAGGATACAGAGAAAGAGAACCTGTGTATACTGTTGACAAGACTGTACAGTCACTATAGAACACAGATGGAAAAGTACTAAAGAAATTAAAACCAAAACTACCATGTGACCCTTCAGTTCAACCTTTTTGGGGGCACATACCTAAGGAAAATGAAGTTACACCCTCATAAAAATATATGTACTAGGCTGGCGATGGTGGCACAGTCTTTAATCCCAGCACTTGGGAAGCAGAGGCAGGTGGATTTAGATGAGTTTGAGGCCAGCCTGGTCTACAGAGTGAGTTAGGACTACACAGAAAACCCAAAAATTCTGCCTAGAAAGAAAATCTGTATTATTATGTTCATTGTAGTCATTACAGCCAGGCTAAAAAAAAAAAAAAAAAAAAAAGAGGGGGGTGTGTGTCGGCCAAAGTTTACACTGTAGCAAATATTTAGTAAAAGGCAAATTATTTACAGCCTCTGGAGAGAAATGAGAGTAGCAAAGTAGTAAATGTTTAAGACTAACAAGCTGAAAGATCTAACAACGCGAATACTAAGGCTGCTAAGTGTCCTCGGTCAGCATTTTCGCTAAGTGAGTCCATTGGAGAGAAGTAATGAAGTACAGGAGTTAACTGAGTATCACCGGAAGAGGGAGAGGATAAGGGTCTGTAATACAGTTCTGGGAAAACTGGATTTCAACAGGGAAAGTACCGATACTGGACATGTATCTTATACCATATACAAAAATCAACCCCAAATACACAAAAGACCCAAATGCCAAGATTTGAAATCATAAAACTCCTTGACAATGGCTTTGTCAATGGTTTCTTGCCTATCATACCTACAGCAAGAATAAACAGATGGGATTACATCAATCTAAGAGCTTCGGCATAGGAAAAACTCAACAATCCCTGGGCTGGGGAAACGGCTCCGTCAGTGCAGTGATCTGATGATAGGCACTATAGCAGTTCTTCTAGTATATGTATTATGTATATGTATATGTATATGTATATGTATATGTATATGTATCTCATAACATTCTGTATACCTTAGTTATACCACAACACATTTATTTTTAAATGATAAAGGAGAAAGATATAAGAGACACTTATTGAAACAGCATATTTGGGAGATACTTTGAGGACACCAGAGAGACAATATAGATATAATACAGAACATTGTAACCACTACAAAGGTTTTTCTGAATAAGGTTAACATATGAAGAAAAATCTTCTAAAAATACACTTAAGCCAGGTATGATGGCCTACATGTATAATCCCAGCCCTCAGGAGGCAGAGGCAGGAGGATTGCTGCAAGTTTAAGGCCGATCCAGTCTACACAGTGAGTTCCAGGTCAGGGATATATAGTGAGACCCTGTCACAGGGGTTGGAGAGATGGCTCGGTGGTTAAGAGCACTTGCTGCTCCTGCAGAAGACTGGGGTTCCGTTGCCAGCACCCAGCATCCACAGCCATCCATGATTCTAGTGCCAGGGGATCTAGCACCTTCTTCTGGCCTCCTTAGGCAACTGGCTCATGCAGGACGCTTACACAGATGCAGGCAAAACACTCACACACATAAAATAAATAAATCTTTTTCAGAAAGACCCTGTCGTGAGCAAATGAAAGTAAAATAGCTACTTAAATTCCAAGTATATTGACATTCATAAGTGGATACTGTGTGTGTGTGTGTGTGTGTGTGTGTGTGTGTGTGTGTGTGTGTGTGTGTGCATGTGTATACCTGGAGGCCAGAGGTCAACACTAGGCACCTTCCTCAGTTGCTCTTCATTTTATTTTACTTTTTAAAATTATTTATTTACATGTGTATGTGTGTGCACACGTGTGCATGGATTATATATGTTGCACACACACATAGACACATAAGAAAACTTGTGTATGTGTGTGAGTGTGCCATGGCGTGAGTGTGGAGGTCAGAGAACATCTTGTGGGAGTCAATTCTTTCCTTCTACCACGTGGGTCTTAAGCTTGGTGGCAAGAATCTTCACTGCTTAGCCATCTTGTTTTTTGAGACAAGGTCTCTAACTGACCCCGGGACTTGCCAATTTGGCTGAACTGGCTGGACAGAGAGCCCCGGGAAGTCTCCCGTCTCTGCCTCCCCAGTGCTGGGATAGATAAGCTGCCATTCATTCCTTTATGTGGGTATCAGGATCCTAATTCACATCTTGATGGTTGTGCCAATGGCATCATCTTTGAAGCCCCGTGAATGGACATTTTAATGAACGTCCACAAATGGATTTGCTCCAACTTAATACAAAGTGTTCTGACTGAAATGTTTAACATGGTTACTACCCAAAGCTATATGCAATAGTTTTTGTTGAATAAGCAAACAGAGTGCAGTAGAAAAAGTTGATAAATATTCATTGAATGTCAATTCCAGAGAATGGGTGTACTGACAACTTTTGATTTTTCTTTGTATTTTTACTGGTTTTTCTTAAATAATGAGTCACTAAAAGGTGTTTTTTTTTAACCAGAAAATAAATGAGTTATTTCTGTTTTGGGATAGCAGGGTAAATTAATACTGTGTAGATGGTCACATGGCCTTGATATTCTGGTAAGAGGAGTAACAAACTTGGTTTGTCTAGTTATGCAAGTTAAAACACGGAACAAAATTTAAATCACTGGCATTAAGAATGAAAACAGACCAGTGAAATGAGTTTGTCCCCACTCACTACTTTGACAGAGGACTCAGTGTGGAGGGAAGACCCAGGAAGAGCCCAGAACGCTCAGTGAGCTGAAGACATAGAGCTGAGAGTCCAGGAAGAGCAAGGTGTCTAGAGTTTGTAGGACAGACTCCCAAGGTCAGAGCTGCAGAGAGAACACCAGGTCCTCATTGAGAATTTGGGTCTGTAACCCACATGTTAAGTCTGAGGAATGAAAGGTCTGAAAGGGATGAGATCTGGCACATACACAAGACTGGAGCAGTGTCTGTGGCTACTGACCACTCTGGAAAACACCCAGTCTATAGGATGTTGGCAGAGAACTCAGAAGGGGTTTACATTACACAGTTCTTAGAGTAAACCCCGGCCTGGTCCCACCTATCAAAGGTTACAATCAAGACACAAAAGAGTCAAATGGCTTCCAATCAACCTAACTACGTCTCCTCCAGGAAGTGCAGCTCGAGTCAAGCACAAGAACCACGTGGGAGCCGGACATGGTCACACATACCCCACTGGGAAAAAAAGTAAAGTGGCCTAAATATGTCAACTAAATGGCAAAGACTCTCAGCATCTTTGTTTGTTTTTAGTCAGGGTGTCAGAACATAGCCAAAGCTAAGCTTGAATTAATTTCAGCAATCCTCCTGCCTTAGCCTCCTAAGTGCTGGGACTACAGGCATACACCACCATGCCTGGTAAACACTGTCAGACTGCATAAAAAACCAACAAGAGAAACAAAACAAAAGTAAGGCCCTAAAAATTCTTCCTATGAGAAACATTTCAAGTATAACAACCGCCACATAAAGCAGCATTCTGTTTTCTGTTCGCTAATTTCTAGCAGACTACAAATATGTTTCTGAGAATCAAACAATTAACTCTGTCCCTTTCCTCTCTTACTTCATTCTTACAATTGCTTCTTGCTTCTGAATGGACCTGTACCCCAATAAGCCTAGGTTAGAATCCATGCCTCGCTCAAGCCTTCCCGGTCACAAGCTTAACTCTAAAACAATCACCAAATACGGTTACATTGTCTTCTAAACCTCTTGAAACTTTAAAATTGTTTGTTTATTGTGAGACAGAGTCTAGCTGCAGAGTCCTGACCTAGAACTCACTATGTAGACCAGACTGGCTTTGGACCTGTGGTGATCCTCTTGCTTCTGCCTCCCGAGTGGTGGGCCTGAAGGTGTGCACCACCACATCCAACCTTTCCCTAACTCAAGCCCTTCATCAGTTTTTACTACTTATTGATTATCTGACTGTTGAATCAGCTTCCTAGATGTTCCCCACCTTTCTGGCTCTCGGAGTGCTATAATTAGGTTTTGCATGTGAAGAAAAACCTAAGGATCTCTGCTGCCTGTAAGATACAGCTGAGACTCCTTACTTTTTGAGGGTAGGAAAGCCCGGTCTTACAATGTAGTGGTTAGTCTAGGTGGCACAAACTGAAGAGATTTCTCTACCAGCCTCCCAACTGTTAGGGACAGAATGACTCCTCACTGTCACAGAATGTGTATCTTAGAATCTGACTCCACCTTATATTTTCAATTTTATCTCTTGTCTGCTTCATCTATAATCCTTATATATTGCAGCCATAATGAATTACCCAGCGGTTCCAGAATATGGTCCTTCCTTGTACTTCATGTGCTCATTCCTTCACCTGGAATGTCCTCCTTCCTCCTTTTCTCTCTGACCAATGCACTCCTAACTTTAGAACAAGCTTGGAGTTACTCTTGAACAATTAAGTCTTCCAATGTGTCAAATGTACAGTGACAGACACCAAGAAAAAAAGATGAATAAATCTGCTGGGGAGGCAGGGCAGTTGGTAGAGTGCTTCTCTAGCATGCATGAAGCTCAATTCTCAGGACCATATAAACTAGATGTAGTGGTACATGCCTATAATTCCAGTACTCAGGAGATAGAGGCAGGAGGATCAGGAGTTCAAGGTAGTCTTTGGTGACACAGTGAGTTTGAGGCTACCCTGTTCTGTATAGACCTGTCTCAAAGAAAATGAATAAATAAAGTATATTGTTCTTAAGAATCTCATCACTAGCTAGATATGGTGGGGTGCATATCTTTAATCCTTTAATCCCAGCACTTTCAAGGAAGAGAGGCAGGAGGATCTCTGTGGTTAGCTTGGTCTACATAGTGAGTTCCAGGCCAGCCAGGGCTACCCAGTGAGATTCTATCTCAAAGCAAACAAACAATAACAACAAAAAAAGATAAAAAAACAAAAATCCCTTACAAACAAAATAAGACCCCAAATCTTACCTCCAATGTTTTATCCAGCTGGGCAGCTAGCCTTCCTATTTCATATAGCTGATGGTGGCTGATGGCAACCTCAGCTATGGGTCTTCCTGGGAGGTAGGTGAGCATTCTCACCAAGTAGCTTTTGGTTTCAGATCCACTATCTAGATGGAAGGAGTGACACATCCTGTCAATCATTCTTGAAAAAACAACAGAAGCTATTTTTTCTTTAGAATTGCCATTGAAAGGAAAAGGAATTTGGGGGTAAGGAGGGGAAATGCACAAAGCCTTGCACTCAAGTGTTGTGTCTGAGTTCACACACACAGCAATGACGAACCGGGGTTTTAAATGCCTGATGGCTTGTTTCAGTTCTTACCACAGCACCACCGCACCAGCATATGCAACCAGTCAAATAAATAACGAGACGCCCTCAATGCTGGAGAAGTGACTTTGCCGACTGAGTGCTTGCACAGCACGTGCAGGGGCCTGGGTTCAATCCCAAGCAACATATTTAATCTTTTTGCGTTAAGTAAGAACAGAACATGTTCTCCTGATTTTCACAGGCACCTTAGTTACTATTTATCAGGATATTTATAAACAGAAAATTTAATTTTATACTAGATCTCAACTCAAATCATTTCCAAACTATATCTCCACTTGGAATTGTAAACATTATTATTATTATTATTATTATTATTATTATTATTATTATTATTTTGGTTTTTCGAGACAGGGTTTCTCCGTGTAGTTTTGGTGCCTTTCCGGGAACTCATTCTGTAGACCAGGCTGGCCTCGAACTCACAGAGATCCGCCTGCCTCTGCCTCCCGAGTGCTGGAATTAAAGGTATGTGCTACCACCACCCAGTGTGAACTTGTTTTTGACACCACGCTTCTTCTACCTGTAGCCCAGATGCAGTAATACGATGTACAGGGGCTCTCTTACCAATGGACACGAGTGAGATGGTGTTGTCCCCTTTCGTTCGACACACAGATGCTGTTGGAAATCCAGCTTCTCTCAGAAACATGATGATATGGTTCTGCATCTCAATCAGGTCTGGGGTCTGACTAGACTCCGTGTTGCTTATTTTGAGGACATATTCAACGGGGCCATCTGTAGTCTCTTTGGTTCTTGAAATGTGAACATGAAAGTTTTGGTCATCATAGCTAGGGAGTGGCTGGATCTTAGAGACTTTGAACCCAAATACTGATTCTACCAGTGCAGAGGCTTGTACCTCAGTAAAAGTGGGTTTGGTAAAAGCCCGTGTCTGTCGACCATCTCCAGTTGACATTATGTCTAGGGGAAAAATAACAGCCAGGAGAGAGACATATTACAATGACATTTATTTGAATTACTATTCTCAAGACAGACCACTGTTTCTCTATATGGAGTCTATGCTTCTTGATTTTTATTTATAAAGTTTAAAAACTTAAATTAGTGAGTAAGAGCAAGAAGAAGATGTCCTAGGGCTGGAGAGGCGGCTCCACAGTTAAGAACACTTGTTACTCTTTCAGGAGATCTGAGTTTGGTCTCCAGCACTCACAGTGAGTGGCTCATATTCACCTGTAAGTTCAGCTCCAGGGGCATCTGACACCCTTTTCTGGACTCTGTAGGCATCTGCAGCTATACATACACCATAGCCACACAGAGACATTTAAGAACTAAAATAATCTTCAGAAGAAAAACAAATTGATGTTCTATCAGGGCATAGTGGCCTATGTATGTAGCCCAGCGCTTGGGAGGCAGAGGCTTGGAGGACTGTTTCAGTCCAGGCCAGCTTGGTCTACCTAGCAAGTTCTAGGCTGACCAGGCTATAGAGGGAGAGCTTGTCTCAAGTAAAACAAACAAAACAGAAGTAGGTATGTTGGCGAGTGAATCCTTGTGTCATAAGCCATTTTTAAATTTCCCTCCCAAACTGAAGGTATAGTTCTAAGGACAAACACATGTCACAGAGACATTTTTGTTATCATTCAATTCAATCCTTCCTCTTGTCTACCAACTTTACAGGGAATGGAGGTTCAAAGAAATCAAGAGATGTGTCCAAAACTAGTATTAAGTTCCATTGAGCACTCAGCTCTGGGGGCTGGGAAGATGGCTCACAGGGTAAGGTGACCAACATGTGAGCATGACCGTTTGCATCCACAGCAACCATAAAAAGCCAGGCTTGATGGTATGTGCTTGTAACTCTAAATTGTTGCATCTTTTATGTTTGTTTTTGTTTTTTGAGACAAGATTTCATGGAGTATAGGTTACCCTTGAACTCGCCATATAGCCTTGACCTTCTGATTTTCCTGCCTTTACCTCCCAAATGCTGAGATTACAGGTATGAACCACTACACTTGGCTTATTTGGTGCTGGGGATCAAACTCAGGGCCTCATGCATGCTAAGCAAGCCCTCTACCAAGCAAAACCATGTCCCCAGCCAAGCTGTTGTATTCTTGACAATCACTTCTCATGTTTACCTTCGGACCATATTATTTGCTTTCAGAAGCAAATTAAGCTCTTCAGGTGTTGTTCACTAAACATATTGTCACAAAGACTAAAACAGGGTTTCAAAACAATCTTTGCACCTGAAACTTCTGGAAACTAATACATCCTGTCACATTGCTTTTGGCCTTAAGACTTAACAAGGAATTTTAAACATTCCTTCTGAATATATATATAAAACAAGGCCAGTGTTCACAATGTAATGTGAACTGAAGCATTAATTCCAAGATGAAATCCTCTCAACTCTGAAAGTATTTAAGGGTATTAAAAGAACTTGAGAGGAGTTTGATAGGGAGCTGGGTGTGGTGGTGGCTCACATCTGTTGTCCCACCAATCCAGAGACAGGGACAGAAAGACTGTTGCTTGTTGAAGGCCAGTCCACACTACCTATTGGGTTCTAGTCTAGCCCTTGCTACAGTGGAAGACTTGTCTCAAAAAGAAAAAGTTCTCCAGGTTGAAAAGACTGTTAAAGGCAATTAGTGACGGCCCATCTGCAGAAAATGCTCCCATGACCTTGAATGGAATTTGTTAAGCATCTTTTTGCAGAGCCTTGTTTGCTAAAGCAGGACAAGGTATTATTGGCAGGTCTGCTCACGAGACAACCTGGTACACTAAACAGGTGCTGAGCTACAAAAAGTTGTTCTGGCACCAGCTGGGCTACCAACCTCTCAAACTTCAGCCATATGGCCCCTAAAAGAGTTTAGGAATGTCATCTCTAAAAGTCCCTTCTAGCACCAATATCTAAGCTGTTCAAAGTTCTCTTTTGAGCTTATATTTTCTTTTTTGTTGTATACATGAAGAACTCCACATCATGAAAGAAAAGGCACACATTGAAACCTGCTCCTGAAAGTAAACACACACATAGAAATGTTTTTACCAGAGATTTCCATTTTAACCAAATGTGCCCCGTGTGTGAGGAGAGGATGGAGGGCGAATCCAAATCCTATATAGGTTTTAATGTACTTCTTGCCAGCAATATTTAGCTCCCGAAAAACCCCTCAAACAGTAAGGGCTTCTAACCAGGAGGCTGGTGCCATACTCCATAATCTTTGTTGAACCAAAGGGGAATGAAGAGAGAGTGGACCTTACACTCTGCACTTTGTGCAAGGTACACCAGAAAAAAACCACCACAACAAAACAGAAACCAGTCTTTCCTCTCGTCCTCTGCCTGCATCTATTTGGTGAGCCAATGGTTGCCATCACTCAACATCAGTTTACAGGCTGCAGGGACTCTACACAGTCGTCTTCCAAGGGCGACTGGAAGCAGCACTACCCGCTGCTCCAGTGGGTCTAGCTGCGGAGAAAGGACAACGATGGGAGGGAGGTGGCCCATAGCTGGGTTCCTGGCCTTGCGTCAGTTAGGTCCAGGAGAGCCTCTGGGATGGCTTCCACCCCGCACCGTGCAGGCCCGCGGAGGGTGGGACCCTCGGGATTGCGCTGAGATCTCAGGCCAGCTGGGGCTGGACAGTGAGCTGCCCGGTCACCACGCAGCGAATGTGAGGAGCGCGAGAGCAGCAGGAGCCCGCCGCCCGCTCTCAGGGACGTCCCCTCACGGAGACCCCGGGCTCGTCTCAGCCTCCCCCACCTCCGCTCACCCGCCGCGACCGGACGTCCCCAGGCAGACCCGCTGTCCTCGCTCAGCAAGCCAGAAGCCACGGTGCGGGAGGTGGGGCCCGACCCGCGGCCGCGAGCCCCGCCTTCCTATTGGCTCCGCCCACATTCCGCCGCCCAATCAGCGCACACCACTGACCGCCCATGCCCAACCCTTCCCCCGCCCCCAACAGAATTCAGAGACCCGGCTTCTGATTGGCGGTCCGCAACCCGACGAACCTGTCAGTCTCGGCTCTCTAGCCAGGATTCAGAGCTCTTGTTTCTGATTGGCCCTGGAGTAACCATTTAGTAGGCTTTGGGCCCTTGAGCGGCACCTGTCAAATCGGACTAGGTGGGCTTAATCCAGGCAGCGACTTGGAGCGTTGTCTGTCAGGAAGCTGCCTCCTGAGGGCTGGCATCTTGGCTTTCTTTCCTCACTCCTTCCCGCTCTTTCTGGAAGCGCGTATCCTGGAGGCCATCTTCATAGAGCGCGTCCAGGGTTGCATTCTCCCTAGAAGGGAATCCTCGTCCTGAAACTGCAGGGGTCGGGTCCCCCTCTGTGAGGGAACGAGGCTCGCTGTCTGGGTACTGGAATATTCCAACCCGAAACGACTGTATAAAGAGGCCTACACTGTCTGTGCTGGCGGGAAAAGTGAAGTCTAGGGTGCACGGAGCAATCAGACCGTAGTTACCAACTCCCAGTTCAGGACCTTGGCCACAGCACCCGTTTTCAAGCGAGGTAACTCGGTTCAGCAGAGGGAGAGAGAAAGCAGCACGAACCACGCTGTTAGCACCACAGTTCAGATCCGGGGTGACGAACGACTCTTTTACACCGAGGAACAGAGCTGGCAATTGGGTTGGAATCCCTATTTAGGTAGGGTAGGAACTCACTCTGTAGCCCAGGCTGGCCTCGAACTCACAGAGATCCGCCTGGCTCTGCCTCCCGAGTGCTGGGATTAAAGGCGTGCGCCACCACCGCCCGGCAGGAGTCATTATTTTTTGTTAGGCTGGCAGTCAGAACGCTCCAGTGATCGCTTCATCACTCCCTGTCCCACCTGCACTAGGGGTGCAGAATGCACAGTAATGGCTGGCTTTTTATACCGGTTCTGGGGATCCGAACTCAGGTCTTCATGCTTGGGCAGCAAGCACTCTTACCCACTGAGCCATTTCCTCAGACCTCCTGGGACATTCTTCAGAAATGGAAAGCCTGTTATAGTGATGGGTGTGTAATCCTAGCACTTGAGAGGTTGAGGCAGGATTCTGGTTCAAGGCGGCCAGGCTGGGCTACATAAGGAGAAAAAAAGCTTTCTGTAACTTGCCATTTTTACTTTAAGTAGATATTTTCCCATTTTCAAGGTATCTTTATACACAAACTTTTTGTACATCTTAAGATTTTGGTTGAGACAATCTCATGTAGCCCAGGCTGGATTCCTGTTGCCACCTCCAAGTACTGAGATTGCAGTGCTGAGATTGCCACCTTGCCCAGCTTTTGTGTACTTCAAATTGTCCCTAGGATGAACTGCTCAGTCTTTTACGATTCCTAATGTGTGCTGCCAAACCATTTTTCCAAACATTGGAGTGTGTGTGTGTGTGTATAATTTCTCTTTCACACACACACACACACACACACAGACATACACACCTTCAATGTAAAACAAAAACAATTTGCAGAGATAACACGATTTTGCATTGTATGACTCACTGTCAGGGTTCAGTGTTTAGCATATATAATGCTTTGGGTTCAACAGAAAATGTGTTCTAGAAAACAATCTTGTAGTTTAAAAAATATATTAAAACTGGGCATAGTGGCACACGCCTTTAATCCCAGCACTGGGGCGCAGGGGTGGCGGGGCAGAGGCAGGTGGATTGCTGAGGCCAGTCTGGTCTACAAAGCAAGTTCCAGGATGTGTGCTGTTACACAGAGAAACTCTTGTCTAGAAAAACCAATGTGTGTAACTTTGTGGAGCCAGTTCCTTCCTTCACCTTTACATGACTCTGGAGACAGAACTTGTGTGACCAGGATTGTCCAGCAAGCACCTTTACCCATTGAGCCATCTCACTGGCTCAATCTTGCAGTTTCATATTTCCTTTACATAATGGATGTTCAAAGTTTAGTGCCAACACATAGATACATAAAATTCAGTGGTCATATGAGCAGGGTGAAGATTACATATACATCTGCTTTTGCAATAGAGGATTAATTTTTCAGGTACTAATATGCTACTGATAGGACTTGTTCTGAGAAATGCATCCTTAGGCAATCTCATTGTGCAAATGTCAATTCAATCACACAAACTAAAATGGCCATCTTAGGAACCAGCTACATGTGGTCTATCATTAGCAGAAATGTTATGTAGCCCAAACATATCCTAAACATGAGTGTCTAGTCTAGCTAGCAGTTGTAAAAGTTATCCAAACAATTCTCATCAAAACAGCAAGACTAGCAGTAATTTGTAATTAGGAAGCAAAACTGGTATCAAGTGATAAATGCACCAAGGTTGCCATTTCCATGAAGTCTGGATATTCAAACGATCAGGGTACGTTTATGTTGGTACTGGTATTTGCTTTTGTGATACTATCCTAGAATCTGAAATTGTGACTTCAGCCTTTGGATGTCAAGTTTTTGTTTTTTGAAGATTATGTATAGCGTTCTGCCCGAATGTATGCCTACATGCCAGAAGAGGGCACCAGATGGTTGTGAGCCACCATGTGGTCATGGGAACTGAACTCAGGACCTCTGGAAGGGCAGCCAGTGCTTGCCACCTATAAGCCCTCTCTCCAGTCCTGGATGTCAAGTTTTAATAAGCTTTAATCACTTAGGTTGCTACTAACAGTAGGAGGAGGGGCTTTTGGGGTAGGCAACATAGGGATTTGAATCCAAGGCTTTGATCCTGCTAGACAAGTGACCTACCACTGCCCTAAACCCTAATCCCCGGAATATCCTTTCCAATCAGGGAAAGCTGATCATATTTACAAAACCTTGTTTTAGGGGAGAGTGCTGTGGCCCTAGTTCCCAGCTGTGCATGATTTGCTTTGCAAAAACATCAATAAAATTGCCGAAGACAGAGTGAGTGACACCATTAGCAAGACCTACAGTGTTCCAGACCATACAGCACCACTGTCCTACAGGAAGGCCATCTTCTCCTGTCATACACAATTCGTATCAATGAGCTGTCCAATTCTGTCCTAAATGTTATCAATTACCATAACAAAGACCTATGGTATGAAGAAACATGCAATGCCATTTCTAGTAGTTCAATTTATACAGTAAATATGTACTTAAATTAGTTATACAAATGAGGAACAGACAGATTAGGGAGAAAGAGAATCAGTGAATATCAGCTATGAATAGGAGACTTCAACTTGAAAAAAATTTCGAGACAAGGTGTTTGCCACAGTAGCCTTAGCTTTGGCCCAGGTTGGCCTTCAACTCAACCAATCCTCCTGGCTTCAGCTTCCTAAGCACTGAAATTACAAGCATGCAACACCAAGCTTGGTGAAATACATAGTTTTTAAACATCCAAACTTTAGTGTCAGAACTGCCTCGAAGAATAGATAGTCTCCATCACTTGACTGTTAAGTTGCCCGACTTGTACAAAAGATCATGGCTTAGGACAGATTAGTCTTTCATGGAAAACAAGTTATGATTCCATAACTTGACTACCAGTTGGAACACTCTCTGAATTAAATTCATTTACTGTTTCAGTGGACCCTAACTGTACTTCAGACTTTCATTCTCCTAAGTGTTAGCATAGAAAGGAACTCTGTGATATAGTGGTGAGACTAACTGGCTCACATGCTGGATGTTATGTTGGGAATTAAGTCTGAACATTATATAATATATTAAATGAGAAATTTCTGGATAGCATTTCATTTCTTTTTTTTTTTTTTTTTTGAGACAGGGTTTCTCTGTGTAGCTTTGTGCCTTTCCTGGAACTCGCTTTGGAGACCAGGCTGGCCTCGAACTCACAGAGATCCGCCTGCCTCTGCCTCCCAAGTGCTGGGATTAAAGGCGTGCGCCACCACCGCCCGGCCATTTCATTTCTTAAGTTATGATGTTTTATTCTGAGTTACTACAAAATACAACGTGAGTCAAATGTGATATACAATTTTCTTTATTAAAAATAATTTACAGCATCAATAACATATACACAATTTCATTAACTGAACTTTACCTCCAATATATTTCTATACAATACTTAACATTATTGAACTTAAAACTGTTATGCTATTTTGTTGGCTTTAAATAACAATGATTTGTAGTTACTGAAGAGATATATATGGTTTTATAGCCACATATTTTGCATAAAATTGATAAAAACAAAACAAAACAAAAAAGACCACATCAACATAGTCACAGTCCCTCTTGAAGGGGAAAAAAATCCTATTGAAAAAAGTCAAAGTCCACTTCCTTTCCCTGTTTTTTCCCCCAAATCAAATATAGTATCATCATCATCATCATCCAGTATCTTAGTATCTTCTCCCTAGACTCAAAGGCAAAAAGGAAGGTGGTTTTCACTTTCACTTACCACCAAGATGGGGAATGCGCACTACATTGTTATCACATATGCAAATAACTGACCCTGGCTGAGCTCTTAGCTTTACAGCCTTTAGTTCAACACCAGTGAAAATCCAAACAGTCTGGTGAAGAGATGCTGCTGCCTCTCATCCAAGTGCTAATACAGAGACAGAGGTACCTGCTGGAAGCCTTTCCTTTCCTTCATTTGTATGAGCAGCACAACTAAGGCACACAACAGCATGGAACACAATGTTCTTGAGACTACAATGCTGCTGTTGGTAACTGCACTACGTTCACAATACTGATTTGCTTTTTTTGTGTTCCTTTCCCAAATATTAGTAATTTTTAGAAATAACACAAAAATACTAAAAATAGTCAATAAAGGAAGTAACACATTAAAAACAGGCATCACATTTTTGCATCATTTGGCTGGAGGCAGAATTACAAAATATACGCATTAAGACATGCGCTTAATTTCCCTCCCCATTTAAAACCGTGCTTATCAAGTTCACTGTTTCTAAGCAAGAGATTAAGAGAACCTTGATTTCATTCCTGAAATACAATTTTTATACCATTACCAGACTCGGTGG